AATCCCAGGTTATGTCTTAAAAAAAGAGGATTTTTTTAAAGAATTTATAACATCCCTATGCTTTTTTTTGTCTAGGTCATCAAGGCAAAAAGGCATAGCGTAGGGCCCTGAGCTTCCAAGCTCTCTCGTTACCTTCAGCCTCGTGAATATGGGCGAATATTCACTAGTATACAAACGGAGGAGAATAAGTAGTGAATATTCGCCCATATTCACGAGGCTGAAGGTAATAATAGACTTATACCTCTCCATATTCACCCTCTCGTCCCTAAAACCCAACACACGAGTCCTGTTGGTCATACATGTACATGTACGCAGAAGTCGTTGTTGCTTCAGTGTCGTAAACCGACTGGCGTGTTCTTTGCTTGAATTGGAGGGCGGCGTGTTCAGAATCTTGTTCAATCGATCGTGTACACGTACTGGTGCATGTGGCATGAGAGGTGACGACCTTGGAGAACACGCTCGTGCCATTCACCATGAAGAACACGCTCGTGCAGCGTTGTGGCGGGAGCCAATCATTAGAGAGTTTTCGTTTCGCGCGGCGATTTTTTTTGCCAATCCCAGAGAGGTTTCGTTTCACGCGAAGATTTGACCAATCCGCGATCATCGCGTTAATTCGCGAATCGGTTTAAAAACAATTTTTGTCAAATTATATAACTGCGTAAGATGGGTTTCTAATAGTTTTAACACGCCAGTCGGTTTACGACACTGAAGCAACAACGACTTCTGCGTACATGTACATGTACCGTATGACCAACAGGACTCGTGTGTTGGGTTTTAGGGACGAGAGGGTGAATATGGGGAGGTATAAGTCTATTATTACCTTCAGCCTCGTGAATATGGGCGAATATTCACTAGTTATTCGCCTCGGTTTGTATGCTAGTGAATATTCGCCCATATTCACGAGGCTGAAGGTAATAATATATACATACACACAAAAGGCGCATACACGTACATAATTATGGAAACAAAACATTCATGCATGGTACATAATCGGCATTCTGTGAGTGTATGAAAGAAATATGGAGGATATTGAATATATGCATTTATCAAGTACCGTTATTGATGGACTTGTTTTCAAGTATTCCAACCCCTGCCCCCCCCCCCTCGCCCCCCCCCCCTCCCTCTTCCCACCCTTCGTTTCCCTCAGGTCAATCACAACCTCTCACTTTTATTATGGTTTTAAAATGGGGTCTACTGTACAAACAACAGACAAAAACGAATTCAGACTAAGCAATCATCACCTACAAAAACAATAACAACAATAAATTTCAACCTTGTTTTCCGTAAATTGCCGCTCAATCGTTAACAAATCTGCCGAACTGTCTGTCATTGCTGATTTCAACAAACCTGATGTCATCTGTCTAAATGAAACATGGCTAAATCCAAGCATAGCGCTCACCATCTCCGGTTATACCACATTTCGTCGCGACCGACCACCTCATGATAACAAATCCGGTACGGCAACCAGAGGATATGGTGGAGTTGCGATTCTTGTCCAGCAAAATCGCTTCGGAAGAGTCCAAGTTCGCGACGACCTTGCTCGTCCGACCTGTGAATCCGTATGGGTTGAGCTTCACCCAATCTTAGGCTCCCCGACACCCATCCTCGTCTGCTGTACCTACCGTCCGCCCTCAGTCAAAACCACGGAAATAGACCACTTCTGTGATATGCTAGCTAGTGCTTTGGTAACCGTTCCCATGTCATCGTACCATGTCATAATGGCTGGGGACTTCAACAGTAAGCACAAACGGTGGTGCCCATCGGATTTAACGTGTCCTGCTGGGGCGGCACTTTTTCGCACCCTTACCTGCTTCGGTTTGGATCAGCTGGTGCACAGTCCAACGCACACAACATCTTCCGGAACACAGTCATGTCTAGACCTTGTCTTCACGAACCAACCCCTGCTGGCGACGGATGTTCACACAGCTTGCGCTCTTGGCTCCTCGGACCATCTCATGGTTTCATGCCAGTTCGCCGTCTCATTGCCCTCGGATCCAGACCTGCCACTTCCTTCTCGCAAACCGTTCCCATATCGCTTCCGTCGAGTTCCCTCTCAGTGCTGGGACTCTATGAACGCTGATTTCTCCTGCCACGACTGGTCGTTTCTGCAACCAGAAGGCTCTCCAACTGTTGACGCCGCGGTAGATCACTTTGCAGCCGTCCTTGAACGAGGGTTCCAACAGCACCTCTCTAACTTTGCTATCGGCTACAACAACCGGAAACATTCCAACCCAACATCCTCGACATCTAGTCCCCCATGGGTGACACGGTCCCTCGTATCTGAAGTGAAGCGCAAGCGTGATCTTTTCAGCATCTACAAGAAATTCCCAACGCCGGTTAACCGGGAGGCTTACCGAGTTCAACGCAACTTCGTCAAGCACCTTTCTCGTACCTCACACCGCTCCTTTCTAAACTCTCTTTCTGCAACACTCTCCTCCCCCGATCGCCCATCACTCCACCAATTCATTCGCAACCAGTGCCGCGGGACCTCCCGCGCGCCAATCCAGTACCTGACGGACTCCCATGGCAACCGCCAGCACGATGTGAAGGCGATTGCAGACACACTGAACAAGCCGTTTGTTTCATCCGGCATTCCGGAAGATCCGAATTGGGTCATTCCATCGCTGTCCCCAGCCCCTGAACTTAGCGCACCACTCACACGCGTCGTTACCACGACTGCTACCGTCTGTAAGCACCTCAAACTCCTGAAGAATTGTAAGTCCCCTGGCGAAGATGGCATACCCAATGAGGTTCTCAAATGGCTTGCGCCATCTCTGTCCTATCCCTTGTGCATGCTCTTTAACATGTCATATCGTACAGGAGTATTTCCGTCCGTCTGGAAATCTGCTGTTATCGTCCCGATCTATAAGAAAGGCCAACGCTCTCAGGCTGGCAACTACAGACCAATCTCTCTCCTTCCCGCTGTGTCCAAGGTCTGTGAACGTATTTTCTTTGAGTCTCTGTACTGCCACGTCACCCCAGCGCTTTCACCATCTCAATCCGGTTTCTGCCGTGGAGACTCCACAACTTTCCAACTAACACGTCTAGTACAAGACATCTACACCCAGCGGAACCTCAGGCGGCATGTTGGCATCGTGTTCTTTGACCTAGCGAAAGCTTTCGACACCGTCTGGCATCGTGGTCTGCTTGCAAAGCTAGAGTCCGTCTTCTTGGTACACGGTCCAGCCCTGCAATGGCTCTCATCCTATCTTTCCTGCCGCCACCAGACTGTCAGAGTATCTACCTTCCTATCAGACCCATTACTAGTCGTGTCTGGGGTACCCCAGGGGTCCATACTTGGGCCGCTCCTATTTCTACTGTACGTTAATGACTTGCCAGCCCTTGTACCAAATGTAAGTCTTTTTGCTGACGACACTGCTCTGATGTGCTCCGACAGCTCGGCAGACAACCTCACGGCCTCCATGCAGTCCGGGGTCAACGCTACAGTAACATGGATGGAAACCTGGAAACTGAAGCCTAACCTCGCCAAAACCGAGGCCATGTTCTTCTCTCCCTCGCCCCCCACTCAACTTCTGTATTTTCCTGGTCTAAATAGTACACCTATTAAAGTTGTTAACGAGCACAAGCACCTGGGCGTTATTCTCGACCGCCAACTCTCCTGGTCTCCACAAGTCCAGTCTGTGTGCAAGCGTGCGAGTGCGTCCTTAGGTATGCTACAACCCCACTGCCAACACTTGAATGATAACTGCAGAAAATTGTTCTTTAAGTCGTACATTTTGCCTATATTTGACTATTGCGATATAGCTTGGTGCGGGTTGTCTCAGACTTTACTCCACAGACTGGAGGTACATCAACGCTTGCTTCTGAAAATTCTGTTTCGAAAAGACCAAACATTTGCCTCCCTTTGTCTTTATAAACTTGCTTCCACGCACCCTCTTCTTGCCCGACATCAGCAGCATCTTTGTATCCTTGTGCAAAAAATCTTCCTAGCCCAAGTCCCGAAACATATTGCCAAGTACAACTGGTTTGTTACCACTAGACCAACACGCAATGCCTTATCACTGCCCCGAGCTAGTTCCTCTCTGTTTTTGAAATCCCCTTTCTTCTCAGCATACTCCCTTTGGTCTAACCTGCCTACTAGCATTAAGACATGCCAGGATATCAGGAAATTCACAGTCCAGCTTTCCACACTGTCTCATCCGAAGTGATCCCATGTATTATTAATGTGCCTCCCTTTCTTTTTCTCTCCCTATCTCCTTTCCCTCTCTGACAGCATCTTTCTTTTTTTTCCCTTTTAGCTTGCCGTGGTTGGCTATCACCTGACCTCTCATGTTTATTGGCAGTCTTCGGACGGGCCAGGAGATGTTGAATAAATAAATAAATAAATAAATAAACCAATCAGACAGAAAACAAACACCAAACATAATCACATGACTATGATGAGAGACGTACATTATATAACTGCGTAAGATGGGTTTCTAATAGTTTTAAATCTTTACAGTTTATTCCAGCCAGGAAATATATTCATGCAGCAACCAATTTCCCGCTTAAAATAAAAGACAATACGGTATTACTTTAAGGTTTACATGTATAACAGGAGAAACAGGTGCAGGGGAGGAGAGGAGGACAATGACCAAAGACAGGTGCGGGGATGAGAGGAGGACAATGACCAGACAAAAAACCATAAAGGTGCAAACACCAGCAAGAAATAGCATGGAGGCGATGTCAGCTGAATACTGGTAGCTTCTGAAGCTGGAGATTTCGCTTATCCCGCCCGCTATCACTATTTCGTAACGTAACAAACCTTGCAGGAAGTTGGGAAAATATCAAGTCGAGCCTGCTTCTGTTGCCCGATGTTACTAGCAGGCCTTCAATATGGAGCAAGGCTGAAACAGTTTGGATTACTAGAATCAGCGCTGAAAACCCGTTTTCCTAACAAATTCTTCACTTTCGTGAAGCTCACACTAAGCAATGTGTGGTCAATGTGTTCGGTTATATGGAGAGTTATCCCCGATGCGACCTTTTCAAAATACCTTTGCTTTGTTGTGGTTGCTCGACTGGACTTGGGACATTTCCGTGACATTATTTTGAATGTTGACCCTCCAGTTCGGATAGTCATTATTGCAGACCAGGAATTGATGTTCGCTCAACAATCCAGTGTATCGATTGCTCCGGCTGCAACAATGGCTGGGCGAACATCGGAACTATTACGCTCAATTCAAAGCGATGCCAAGCTCATGCCACAATAAAGAAGTGCAACATTTCCCCTACGGTTCTCCACCAGATTTTCCAGGGATGTCGTCATCGGAGAATTTGTCAGAATCACCGGTCTGCAACACTAGGGTATCCGTTCCGCACCAAGTCCAGAGTGTCCACCGTTTACAGACAATGCAGCCATCACGAAACGTCACGCCAAGCCAGATCGTTCAGGCTGCTCAGATCAATCAGCCTCCCCAGACTGCACAGGTTTTGCAGGCAATACAGCCTCCCCAGATCGTCCAGCCTGGCCAGATCGTTCTACATCCCCAGGTCGTCCAGCTTGAGCAGATCGTCCAGCCTACCCAGATCGTGCCCTTTTACACTCCGGTCCCGCATTACCAGCAAATACAGCCTGGTGAGACAGCCCAGATCACTCAGCCTGTTCCGATGGTTCAGTTTCCGACTTCGGTGCCATATTTCCAGCAAGCACAGCCTGCCCAGACTGCACATCATATGCAGATCTTCCAGCCTGCCCAGACCGTTCAGCCTGCCCAGACTGTTCAGCCTGCCCAGACCGTTCAGCCTGCCCAGACCGTTCAGCCTGCCCAGACCGTTCAGCCTGCCCAAACCGTTAAGCCTGCCCAGACCGTTCAGCCTACTCAAATGGTTCAGTTTCCCTCTGGGTTCACGTATTTACAGAAACTCCAGCATCGCCAGACTGCCCAGACTTCACAGCCTCCACAGACATTGCGGCCTACCCAGACTGCACAGCCTACCGAGACTGCACAGCCTACCCAAACCATCCAGCCTACCCCAATCGTTCATCCTGCCCCGACTGCACATCATCATCACAATCATGAGTGTAAGTGGTGTTTGAACAATGGTGAGGGTATAGTGTGTGCCGTGCGCTGCCAGACTGCAGGAAACCTAGCACATCACGTCAAAAAGGAACACGTAGGATCATCAGCATACAATCCCTATAACTGCCACTGGCAAGGATGTGACAAGAAATATCTGAACAGATATCACCTTTTAAGGCACATAGGCTCTCACACTAACCACTTCCTATGTACTCATCCTGGCTGTGGTAAATCATATACTAGGAGAGAATATTTAGAGATACATAGCAAACAACACACTGGCTAAGGACCGTTTCCCTGTTCTATCACCGGGCGCAATAAATGTTATTCCGCATCGTCAGACCTCCGCCTCCTCATGAAAACTCACCCCCGTGACATATGCATTATAGACGCTTGGCTGTTCACTATTGCGTTTTGAGTGCGGGAAAACTCTTCCACCACAAACGGATTTCAGGGCTTGGGTGAGGAGGCCAATGTACAGGATTCCGAACAGTACTGTGGAAAAGAAAAAGCTAGGAGGCTAGTGACTTGATGTTTCCCCCTGGTTCCCTGCCAGCAGCTTCACATAAACATAACTCATAGTGGAGGAAGGTGAGGCCACATCACCTTCAACATCTTCCAAAAGTCCACTCAGTCACAGTTGAAATAATTGTCCTGTAATGCGAGAGTATATGCATCATGTATTATGTTTTGCCTAAATCAATGCACAATACTCATGTCATGCAAATTATTAAAAGAGTCTTCTAAACAAGGTCCTCGTGTATTTGGTTGTCCCTTGTATTCCTTACCCAATGTATACCATTTGTCAATGCTTTTTGCATTTCGCCATCGTAGGGTATCTTCTAGGTAAAGATTGGAGTTTTGTTAAGATAACATTGTCCGAGGTCCCCTCATTTTTCAGAATTCTGTCTTTGCTTGTTATAAAACTTGCAATCAGTGCAATATTGTCTGTTTAATTAGACGTTGGCTGGTGCATCCAAATATCCCTGACCATCTCAACTGATAAAAATTGTAAATCTGTCACGTTCTTCTCTTTCTTCAAATATGAACTTAATGTGCGTCTCCAAAAAAAAAGAAGTGGTATACATCTCCAAATTAATGAGCCTATGTTCTTTTTGTTCCTGTTAGACTGGCTGCCCACGTCTAATGGTGATCATAGATATTGTGAGTTTTTTATTTTATTATTTTACAGAATGCACCTCCTACTGATAGACCATAACAAAGAGAGGAGAAGAAGAAGACAAAAGAAAATAATGATCGAGACAACAAAGGAGATAGACATACAATGTACTAGTAGGGGCTCTCAGGGAGCCTATGCCGGTGAGGCGGGACTAGCAACGCCGACCTAGGGTCTCGGCGTTAGCGCTATCCAGCACACCATAGACGGGATTACGAAACACGTATAAATAGATAAGTGAGAGGGAGGGAGTTGATGTTGATGTTGAGGCCGCGTCTCTGCACTCGATCGAGAAGGCGCAAATGGCTTGAAGCTGCTCCCATCCATACCAATGGCGCATACTCTAGGACTGGCCTCACAAAACCTCTGTAGACGGTTCGTTTGCCTGCACCATCGAGTACGCGAGCAACTTTGCGCAGGAAGCCCAGGCGAGAATTCGCCTTGAGTGCTGTTTTGTGGAGGTGAGTCTTGAAGGAGAGGCCCGAGTCGAGTGCTTACTTTGAGAGGGAATTTGTAAAGGATAGCATGTCTCAGCGGAGAATACCAAAGTATGTGTGCAAGTGGATCTCTCCGATTTCGCTCAAAATTTGCAGGTAGGTTCCCTTTGGGTCGGCGATCGATTGTGCAAAACCCTTGAAAAAGTTTCTGAAGGGAATCTTGAAATTTGAATACCCCTCAAAAATGGCTGAAATATCACATTAGTTATGGGTCTAGACACGAGTCACGGCACAGCGTATACGAACAAGCTACGAACAAAACTCCATCAAGCCAACATTGCCTCACCTTAGAAGAGGTCCTCGAGCAGTACCGCTTAGCCAAGCCAGGATCCCAGAAGACGAGGTCCATCACCCCTTGACGCCACAAATGATCGTCTTGAAAATAGCCAATTTTCAAGCGCTGGCAAAACAGCCAGCTACGTCCTCAATTGGCCAGAACTATACACCGGCAGATAGTAGAACACCTCTTCTATCGCTGAGGATATGTACCCCATCTTTCGTTTGGGGTTTTCTTGAAATAAACGTTTTTGAATTTTTCCACTCGACCATGCTGAAATACGGCCAAAGTCATACCTGCGCAGGAAAGATCGCCCCTCCGCGACGTCTCCTCAGCACTTTCTACTCCCACACTACAGTCAACCTCGCTAATAACGACTGCGGATATTTTTTTATTTTTTATTTATTCAACATCTTATGGCTTCCGATGGCAGCCAAAACGGGAAGATGTGGGTGATGGCCAACCATGGTAAAAGAAGGAGAAGATTATATACATGAAAAGGAAACAGCCGAAAAGCTATATTGATTAGTTTTTACTTGCAAGTATTATTATTATGGTGCACTCAGTCATCAGCAGGCCCTCAGATTCACTTTAAATTCTTTCAATGATGCAGAAGTCTTCACTGATTCGGGAAGTTGTAGCCATGCACAGTAGCCCTGGAAGAATGGCGATCTTGTGAATTGCGTTGACTTGGCCTTGGGAAGAGACACTTTGTTTCTGGTTGAGCGGCCCGAGACAAACCAGTTATAAGGCTTTATATGTTCAGGAACACAACCCAAGAGAATTCGATGAACCAATATACAGAGGCAAGTTAGTCGGCGTTGCTCTAACGGAGTAGTCTGAGCTAATAAGTACAACTCATTGGAGGGAACGGAAGGTTTCTTCGAGAACAAAATTTTTAGAACTTTCTTATGATGAACTTCAATGGAATCGGATAAGACCTTAGCTAGGCCACACCAGGCTGTGGCAGCATATTCAAACAATGGAAGGAGATAAATTTTATATATAGCGGAACGGCACGGAATAGAGAGATGTTTACAATGACTTTTAATATAGCCAAGAGCACGGCTGACTTTATTACAAATGTAATCTACATGAGCCGACCAGGACATGGATGAATCGAACATTACCCCTAGGTGTTTGTGCTCCTTTACCGTCTGAATTTCTGTGGGTGAATTGGGAAAGGTGAACTTAAACATTGAGGCAGAATCTGTTAGAAACAGTACTCTGGTTTTTGAAACGTTTGCCTGAAGCCTCCAACTGGACATCCAGGTGACAATCATATTTATCGCGTCTTGCAACTCTGACTCAAGCTGTTTGACAGTTTTACTGTGGCGCAAAGCAGCTGTGTCGTCAGCAAACAATGACATTCCAGAAACATGACTTGGTAGATCATTAACATACAAAACAAAAAGCAATGGTCCAAGAATTGAGCCCTGAGGCACCCCCGACAGCACGGGTAGCTTTGGAGAGTCTGCTCCCGACACGGACACAAACTGGCTTCTCCCAGAAAGATAGCTCTCTATCCACTTCAACGGTGTGTCAGAGATATTAAATATGACTTGAAGCTTCCTCAAGAGACCTCTATGCCACACTGTGTCGAACGCCTTTGCAAGATCGAAGAAGCAAATGCCCGTGTACAACTTTTCTGCTCTTGCTCCGATAATGTCCTGTACAAGGCGAGTCAGCTGCAGTGAAGTCGAGTCTCCACGACGAAAGCCAGACTGAGCAGGGTGAATGGCAGGGGCAACATGGCTATACAACTGATCATAAAATATTCGTTCACATAATTTTGAAATGCATGATAAGAGAGAGATTGGCCTGTAATTTCCAGGAGTAGCTTTACTACCTTTGCCCTTAAATATCGGCGTTATTTTGGCCACTTTCCATGCCGATGGAAACTTCCCTTTTCTGAAAGACAAATTAAATAAAAGACATAAAGGATATGATAATGATGGTGCTAGAGCCTTAACAACTTCACTGGAAATGCCGTCCATACCAGGCGATTTGTTAAGCTTAAGCTTCGCAATAGCTTTGCGCACTCCAGCTGTGGTTATTATCGGAGCACGAAACGCATTCGGGAGGCAAGGGTGTTGGTCTAAGGACGGCAATGGTATGCGCGGGTCGTCAACAACCGCCACTGATGCAAATTGCTCGTTCAAAGCTGCAGCTTTAGCTGCAGGGTCTGCTGCCAACTTTCCATTTGATGCGAGGTCAGGTATTCCAGGGCTATTTCCCGAAGATCTCTGCATGCGAATGAATTGATGCAATGAAGGGTGATTACTGGTATCGCAAATCAGGACCTGCAGCTTTCGGATATACTCCCGGTGACATTTCCGGGACAGCGACCTCACAATATTTCGTTGCTTTTTAAACAGATATTTGTTGACAGGACTTGGGTACTTCCTACTCCGACTGTGAAGTTCCGCCTTGTGACGGATAGCACCTTTCAATTCCGCATTAATCCAGGGCGGAAGTTGTTTCGACAGGCGTGATCTCCCTGTATCCCTGATGGAGCAACGGTCGTAGTGCTGCACACTAATGTGCTGCGTAAAGATGCGGTCTAGAACAGTCTGAATATTTGCAAGTGATTCGTCCACATCTGACGTAACAACCGTATGCCAGGCAACTGCCGCTAGATCATCATTAATACCCGCCCATGTGGTAGGTGTCACTCTCTTAAAATTGTACTTACGGGCAGAAGATGACTGCACAAAATCCCTGGATGAAGCACAAGAGGGAAGCGGGTCCATGGGGATATCAAACTGGCATGAAACGAGGAGGTGATCCGATGCACCCAGAGCACAGGCTGTGTCTATGGACGACACTAGTTGGCTACGATTGCTGAAGATGAGGTCCAAGCATGCCTGGTTGCCTGAAGGTGCGGTGTGCGTGTTTGTGGCGACCAGTTGTTGAAGACCAAAGCAGCCAAACTCTCGTTGTATTGCAGCACCAGCAGGGCATGTATGGTCTGTTGAGCACCAGAGGCTGTTTTTTCCATTCAAATCTCCAGCAATGATGACGTGAGAGGACGATACAGGAATCATCCTGAGAGAATCACCAATCATGTCGCAGTAGCGAGTTATGTCCAAGCTCCTGGTTGAAGGCGGTCGATACGTACAGCAAACGACAATTGGTTCAGTACGGCTTGACCTGGGCGTGAGCTGGACCCATACAGCCTCACACATAGGACGGAGTAGATCCGGGCGATATCGTATGGATCTAAAACGGTGTTCCAGAACAAGGATTGCAACACCACCGTATGCCCGGGAGGTAGTGCCAGACTTGTTTTCACAAGGCGGTCTGTCTCGCCGATAGGTTAGGTATCCCGGAATACAGAAAGGTATAGTAGGCTCTAGCCAAGTTTCAGTTAAGCAAATCACATCAGGGTGGTGTTGTTCGACGATTACGGACAATTCAGCATGTTTATTGACAATTGAACGATATCATATTGAACGATATAACGACAATTCGCGAATAACGACAGCATTTCCATGCCCAGAGCAAATTCCCTCCCAACTGAAATACATAGAATGAGACTTCGGGTATAACGACACTTCGCGAATAAGAACACTTTTTGATGCCCCGCCGAATGTTGTTATAAGCGAAGTTGACTGTACTCCCATGGCCGCAGAACAAACTGTATTGTTGACTCTGACAAGGAAAAGCAGCGATGATCACTTGTCATTCCAAACGACAAGCTTCTCCTTGCGCCACCAATACTTTTTGTGCGATTCAAAGGAAACAAGAGTCACAACCGTCTAACAACTTCTGCTTCAAAATGGAGGGGAATTACTTCTAAAATCACATCCAGGCCATTTGTAACTGGTTGAACTGTTTGAGTGATCTATCATCTACCGTTTGGTTAGAAAAATGAACGCATAAACCAAGAGCAGAGGTTCAGAGAAGGCACGGGGGTACATCAGAAACGAACACAGCGTTAGAATTGAAACATTCTGCATTTTCCGTAATCTTCACTACCCTTGGTAACATATAAATTATTTTAGTGAATATATTCATTCCAGGAACACTACACCATAAATACTTTCTACCTTATTGATATATGATGTAAATAGTTCAGCGGAGTTCAAGTGGTGGAAAAATCCCCATCCCCCTCCTGTCCGTGCGATTGTCTTTTGGGCGATATTGTGCACATGGAAGAGAGGCCCCCAACCAACCACCATTGGCATTTCCTCTTAACAGTAGAGAGTGTGGGTGCGGATCGTAAACCTTCCGGCCTTTTGTTGTT